CGAGATTCCGTGAAAGAATAACTCGATAAACAGAACCAGAAATCTCGCTCGAGATTCACTGACAGACTCACAATCGTGCTGACGTTGTCGTGCGTGCTCGTACACCTCCGTTTGATCGAGATGGAGACGCTGTTTCGTAGCGTGGTCCACCCAGGGGCGGGGGAGGGGGGACATAGAACGAGAAAACGACGGAAAGAAAGAAAGCGGCAGCGAACGAGAGCGAAGGAAAAACGACACACGGACGTGAATGGACATTCGGGCATTCAGTGTTTTATCAAGGATCTATGCCGGCTGAATGCCTTCGAGGAGGCACCTTTGTGCCTGTTCGCGTCACGAGGCGAGTCCCTTTTAGAAAATAACGGGGGCGTGGGAGGAGTGACGACGCGAGATGAAGGACGATGGATATGTACGAGTGGCTGTTTCACCGAGCCCGCTTCAAATACAAGCGTCTTACCCCGGCAGAGGGTAGAGGCGCACACAGGTGGCCTCTTCGTACCTTCACGCACCACTAATTTCTTCCTCATTATCCACCGTAGGCGGTCATTCGAGGTTCCGAGCGCCTTGTTCCGTATTTCGACCTATTGTTGGACCGAAGAAACGTGGATCGCGCGTTTCCCTCTCAAACGTGATTCACCCAGAGTCCACAAACAGAGTTCGTGCCCGCGTTCCTTGCTTGATCGTTTTAAGAAAACGGCTGTTCGATGACAGTGTGGAGAAATTTTGATAGTATTTTATTCTTGGAAGCTTATCACGAATAATGAAATACGGATACTTCAATATTCTTGAAGATTTAAATGATCTTGATTGATTTGCGTCACGACTTCAGTTGCACGTGTCCACGTGTATTATAATTTGTATGATATATCTCGATTGAAATTGTTTATTAATACTAATTACAATGACAGAGTATACAATATTGTAGAGAGCTCCTAATCTAATTAATGTAAGGTTGTTTAGGAACAATTTATGCTACGAGACATAAATACTTTTTTCTTCTTTTTTTGACAAAACCTTCGTTTCACCCATTGTTGTGTATATCACTGTAACATAATTATTAGAATACATCACTTGAAACTATTAAAAATATTATTGAAATAATCTCAATATTATTTGAAATTATTAAACACTTTCATCGACTGACACGGTTTTAATATTAATCCTTCAGGAACTTTTATGTTGAGTCACGCTCGATATTTTCAAATTACCAAATTATATTAAATTGTCAAAAGAAAGTAATAATAATAATAATAATAATAATAATTGAAAAATAGTTTTCAACGAAAAGTCACTTATCTACTAATCTAATATTTCTGACTCTTCCATATGTTGATATGTTAATATATTAATATCTTCCATATGTTAATAAATATAAGATTCTCAATTCTCGCGGCTCGCGTGTTATTCCGCTTCGGGATGCAAACGATTTTTGAAATCGATTCGACCGCGCGCGTGCGTCGGACGCATGTTCGTCCAGCGACGAGAGAAGAAAAAAACAAAAGAGAGAGAATGAAAAGGCAGAGAAACGTGGCCCGAAGTGTTCGCATGCAAAGTCACGTGTACAGCCGCGGGCCGAGTGCGTGTCGCGTTTGCTCTCCGCTTTTGCGGCGCGCATCGTTCCGGGGTCACACCCTCTCGAGCACGCACTCTTAAATACCGTCCATCCGGCTCGATCGAGGTGACTGTCACTACCTCGGGAAAAGGGGATTAGTATTTCAATTATTTGCACAACCAGGCCCCGGTCGTTCCTTCACCGTCCTTTTTTCCCCATCGTTTCGTTCCTCCTTGCCGCTCGCGTTCGATTTATTCCCGCTTTGTGCAGCGTGGATAACTCTCGTCGAGTGGCAGAGTCACGTGGCAATGTTTACTCACCGATGATTGCAACTTCTCAAAGGGCTTTTGATCGTGCCGGCTGTATCGATAATCTGACCGTGCCACGGTAAGTTAATACTCTACCTTACCGATTTCGCCGCGGCCGTGCTCCGTGGGTTGCAGAGGATCAGGCGTGAAGTGCTGGGAAAATATTCGTCACGTTATTCGCGGGGTTTGTTTCAGTTGGAATTGACTCGCAACGTGAACATCTTTCACACGGAAAAAATTGAAAATTTTCATTTACATTGAATGTACAACCGATGATATTTTGTTTTCTACTTTAGTAAGATATCAGTTACTCTCCGATTCAATGAAACGAGGAATGTACTATCAATTGCAATTTATTTAAATTATTTATTGATTTTATACACGAGATGTATTTCGATTTTCTTTCAAATTACAAGGGATTTCAATTGCTTCTTACTTGGACGTTGATAGCTTCTTCTCTCTCAAAACAACACACTTTGTTCCAAACTACCACTTGTATGTCTGCTTTCCAGAAAAACCTAACCCAAGCTGAGTCATAAAAAACCCTTTCACCCTGCCATTTCATTTAAAAAAACATTCATTCGAGGATCAGAAAATGAACGAACTTCCAACGTATAAACTTCCCACTCCGATCCAACCAGACATCCAACCGTTTAGAAACGAACGATGAAAAAGAAGAAGAAGAAAAGGAAATACGTTTCTACCGAACGGTAAAACTTTCGAGTAGCAACCGGGGGAAGGCAATTCCCATGTTAAAACCTCGATATCGAGCATAGAAATCGTCTTACTGCCTGATCTACGATTGCCACGGGCTTCGGGTAGGCGTCGAAAGAATATCGAGGCGGCGCAACGAACGTACCCTGAGGAGGAAAGACCCTAGGAACACACCAAGGACGTTCACTGCCCCCGTAGCTAAAACACACACACACACACACACACACGCAAAGACGCACACATCGGGGCACCGGAGTGTCCTGTCTGGCGCCAGGATAATGAAGCAGCCCAGCCGCAGTTCCACGCACCGCCGGCGCAACTTATCGATCTAACCGCGTGAATATTTTAATCGAGAACGGAGAGAGATTTCGTTTCTATCGCCCACGGGTGAATCCAACGAACGGAGGAATGAAAAGGAGAGGAAAAAAAGAAAAAAAAGAAAACAGTTACGGAGGGAGACAGCGAGCAATCGGACAGGCGTGAAATGCGTATCGTTCCCGAAGCGGTTTGAACGCTACCGGTTTTGTTCTCGGGTCGTCGATTAATAGGGCCGTTGAAAAAAAAAAAAAAAGAAAAGAGAGAAAAAGGTTCTCGATGAATGTGGTTGGGATCTAGGAAAATTGGATAAATGGAGGATCGTAGAAACGAGATGTTGTATTTTAAAATCGTGGATGGAATTTGAAAGGTCTCTTTACTTGCGAGAGAACAAAATGAAAATCTACTTCTTTTTAAATAGAAATTAATGTGCTAATCAGCGATGATCTTGAACTGGAATGTTTTTTCGTACATTTTTGTCGCATCACCAGCATCAAAAATTCTTTTATTAGTATACTAAAAACTATTCTTTCAACAGAATATGACTTATAAGTCCGTAAGATAATTTCGCATAAAAGAAATCAACATGTTAGCTTTCTTTTGTAATATTAAACATAGATAATGCAATTGTGCAAAATTAGCTAACTCAGGAAAGTTTCCACGCATAATAATTTCTTTTCAAATAATTCTAAGAAAATAATATATATATATATGTATATGTTATTTTCTTAAAATTTGTATATATGTACACTGGATCGAAAAAGTTTCCATACACTCGGATAGCATTTCTTAATTAGAATACGTCATCTTACTGGAATGTATTGAAGCAATGGAAAATGGATTGTTGAAGGCCATACTAATCATTAATATATTGAATTAGTTGCAGTTAATTATTAAATTATTCAGTTTTAAAATTATTACGCGTGGAAACTTTCCTGAGTTAGCTAATTTTGTACAATTGCATTATCTATTTTTAGTATTATAAAAGAAAGCTAACATGTTGATTTTTTTAATGCGAAATTATCTTACGGACTTATAAGTCATATTCTGTTAAAAGAATAGTTTTCAGTATACTAATAAAAGAATTTTTTTGATGCTGGTGATGCGACAAAAATGTACGAAAACATTCCAGTGCGAAATTATCTTACGGATCTTATAAGTCATATTTTGTTAAAAGAATAGTTTTTAGTATACTAATGAATGAATTAAGAAATTCTAATTGAGTATACGGAAACTTTTCTGATCCAGTGTATATAAATTATAATTATAATATATATTATTTTCTTAGAGCTTATATATATGACAGTTCGCATAGTTATAATTTATATAATACTCTCATATATATAAATTATAATTATAATTATTATATATATATATAAGTTATTCATTCGCTTAATAACACGTCTCGCAGTTCCGTAGCTTCTGGTTAATTCCTGACTTGAATTAATTTTTCTTGTGTGTCGCGACGAGTTGGCTCTCAACCGAGAGTAAGAATTAATGCTCATAAGCGTGAATTAGGTGTTCGTACGCGTCCCGAGGCTTGGACGCAGTCCCTTATTTTCGCAAATTGATTGCTCAATATCTGACAATTCCCCGTCGACCCGGTATCGCCTTCGCTGTCGATAATGATCGCATAAATCGTTCCACAGCGCGGTAAACCAGCGAGTACGCTCGGTTGTCCTCAACCTTGCAGGCGAATTTTATTATTTTTTCGAAAAGCCAAACTATAAAACGATCGCGAGAGAAAAGAAAAGAAAATTCCTCGACAGTGACGATACGTTCACATGTCAATCGGAAACACAGTGTGAAAATTGCACGGCCAAATATTATAGACTAAATGTTAGAGAATATATTGACGAGGGTAAATTACAAGTTTCTTCCTCGACTCGATGCGTGTACACGTTGTGAAATGTTTGTCGAGCTTTATAGTCGATAATGACGGTAAGTAAAAGTTACATGCACGCGAGAATGCGTATTAAAATACAAGCGACGCCGATATATTACTTTCGTCCTCTAAACGTTGCGTTTAACGTTGAACATTCGAAGGTTCCTCAGAGAGAAGAATAATAATCTTATCATTCGGGGATTGAAAGAAAATCGGAGACGAGAGGAGATTATTGTGACAATGGAATTTATTACAAAGTTGCATTCGACGAATGACAGTGGTTGCACAGCGCTATGCGTAGTAATTAATTAATAGTAGACATTAGACTACGACGTATATGTACGCCTAAACGTAAAACAGAGACGGGCATAATCGTTCATAATCGTGTGAAACGTAGGTGTGATAACGCCCTAACTGTGATAGCATGCAATCGGAATATCTTTATATCCGCATGTCGCGTTTAAAGTGTAGAGACAATGCGAACGCGCACTTAACCTACGGAGGATGAGCAACATTCGAACGAACGAGTTTCATCGACTTCGACGCGAATCGAAACGGCACCGTGAATCGCTACGAGACCAATCTCTTCTCTGTCTTCGCGACAGAGGGTAGAAAAGTTTCGAGGGCAGATGTGTCGAGCGGCAACGATCGAGATCGCGTGTAACATAATTTAAGGTGAGTTTAACGCGTTAAAATTACGCCGAGACACGTTATTTTAAAATGGCAGGAGGAACTATCTCATAGATTGAGGTAATGAGGAAGAATGAGCTATTTAAACCTAAATCAAATAAACGTTTATCGTCTTACGCTCTATAGTTTTCTCTTACCTTCTTCAACGCGGGAAATCGCTGTTCGTTTGAACCTCGGTGGAGAAACGATCGTTTCGAGTCGTTACCAGCCGAGCAATTTGCCGAATTATGAGAACATTTGGGGGGGGAAAGTCGCAGGATTTGTCACTAGTTTCTAGCTCGACGTTGACAGCAACGGTCATAAATTTCTCGAATTTCAGAATATTGCAGAGCTTGGCTGAGTCGAGAGAAAAAAGAAAAGAAAAAGAAAAAGAAAAAAAGAAAAGAAAAGAAAAGAACAGAAAAACGCTAGCTTATCCTAGAGTAGAGACTTAAACGTTAAAGGTTGCGCAAGGGACGCTGCCGCGACGAGTCAGCAGTTTGAGCCGCAGCGGCGGAGCCTTCCGACTGCATCGATCCATCGAGCAAGATCGAAATAAATTAGACAACTAAAGGTGAACGAGACACGGAGGCCCTGGCAGCTGCGACTTCCGGCGGTGTGCTTTTTCATCGCGGAAGCGCCGCGATCGATTTGATCGATTACTCCTGGATCATTCGCTGCTTTCATCTTTCATCTATCGCGAGTCTTTCATTCGATTTAGAGTGTACGCCAACTTCCACGCTAATTTCTATCGCTCTTAGCGACACAGTAAAATCAAAAGAAACAAAATTAAATAAGAGATAGATAGATAGATAGAGAGAGAGAGAGAGAGAGAGAGAAAGAGACATAAGCGTACAGTCGTAACTGGAGGGAATCGCTTCCCAATAACGATAATTGAAAAAAAAAAAAAAAAAGAAAAATGTCGCAACGTCGTCGACGGAACGACCGGACACCGTGTCGCCATCACCATCACCACCATCACCGCACCATCATCTTCCAGTTGAACGAATCTCGGAAGAAGACACACGCTTGCGCGAGAGATTTACTAACGCGATCACAAAAGATTTACGCAACCGCGGCGGTGGCTTGATCGAGACAAGGCGCGTTTTAATCGCTAGGCAAACGAAGGGAAAAGAAATGTACGACTCGAGACGCGAAATCGCGTCAAAGGCCATCGGGTAATAGCACAAAAGTTCGTACATTCGCCATACTGAAAACATACTCGAGTCACTTTCATTTCAGTCAAGTGTACGTGTGTTTCGCATATGTCGCCGTTCTCGATCGAATTGTCCCCGTCCAGCGACCATTTCCTTCTCTCCCAACGTCAGCGTGATCCTTAGAAGAGCCATCCTTAATAATTAAATCGCAGTTGAGGCAGTTGCGTTGGCAAGAGCGAGAGGATCAGTCGTTTTCGTTTCGTCGACGCCGCGTCGCGTCGCTTTGGCCGAGACAGCGAATTGTTGTTGGACTAATTATTTCGGAGTGATCGTCGAATCTTGGCGAAACATACGTTCGATGGTTACGAATATCGGTTTCTTCCACTTTTCACTTCATCGGCTCAATTCTACCAGAAGTTTAGATGTTTTCTAATTTATTCTTAACTCCGAATTTATTCTTTCGAATAATTGAGTAATTGAGTTGGATTTACTTTGGAGTAATTGAATGATTAAAATAATTGTTGGAACGATCGTGGAAACATCCGACGAAACATCCGATCGATGGTCTTACGAATTGTCTGTCTCTTCCAATTTTCATTCTATCAGCGCCTAAAATTTTAAATGTTTTCCAATTCGGAATTTATTCTTTGGAATAGATGTAACTGAATGATTAAAATAATTGTTGGAACGATCGTTGAATACTCTCAGAATATTAGATATTTTCTAACTCCGAATTTATACTTTGGAATAAATGTAATTGAATGATTAAAATTGTTGAAGTAATAATGGAATATCTGTCTCTTCTAATTTTCATTCTATTAGAATAGATGTAACTGAATGATTAAAATAATTTTTGGAACAATCGTTGAATACTCTTAGAATTTTAGATACTTTCTGACTCCGAATTTATTCTTTGAAATAATGTAATTGAATGATTAAAATAATTGTTGGAGTAATCGTGGAATCTTGACAAAACATTCGATGGTTACGAATATCTGTCTCTTCCATTTTATCAGCACCTTCTCAATTCTCTCTGAATTTCAGACGTTTTCTAGTTTCGAATTTGTTCAAAAATAAAGCTGTCTTTCCAATTTCGAATGTTTCACTGATTACTGTTTGTGAGACGGAAGACAAAGCCCGACAGAGTCAGCTCAGACTACATCTTGAACTTTCCTCGTAACCATGGACGAACAATCTTTAACATTGTGCGTTCTTTATAATTTCAACGAAATCTCTGACGAAAGAGCCGATCGCAGTGGAAGTCAGTGGAGAATCTGCTGTGACCTTTTCCCAGAACCTTAGAAACGACGGAGTGACGACCAACTAGAGATTACTATCCACGCTAACGAGTCCAAGCAGTCGTGCTTACTCGTGAAACTTATGCGAAATGCATTGTACATTCGTCAACATGGTATCCTTAACGCGGTGACATTGAATTCTTTATCTTCGATAGATTATTTCTCGGATGCGTGTATATGAATCACAGATTGGCATGATTCGCGAAGGGATCTCTTTTAAAATCGAAATTAAATGACACGTTGATCGTTGAAATTTCATGTTTCGAGTATTTTTTTTTTCAATCGATAGGACTCTCATTAAAGAACAACTGTTTTTGCAGATAGAAAACACGCATCAACTTGCGTAAGAGGTTATATACCTTTGATGAAAGAACGATTTTTTTGTAAAATTCTGTATATTCTGTTATTGTGATTCTTTTAGATTTCTGACAAGGGTGACTGAATCAATTTGGATGAAAATTGACGATGATATTCTGAAGACTATCATCTTAATACGAAATTTTGATTCGTGTATTTTCTTTCTCGTTTATTAAAAGGAGTTGAAACTTACTCAACCTCAGATAGCAGTCGTTTTAAAAATCGTATTGTACTTTGGCCAGCACTAGCAAAATTTTGTGCAAAAATTAAAAAAATCTGCTTGACGAAATCTCACGAAGACACATCTGGTCCAGTTGAAATTTTTGAAACTGAACAGAGTGCGAGATATTTAATGAAATATAATTCTTTCGAATTGTGCAACCATTCAAAGATATACAACCCCTTCATTTGCTTTCGATTTCCCACGACTCGTCACCCGTCATCGATCTCACGTCTAATCGACTAATCGGGAAAGATCTCAAGGACCCCAAAGATCCCGATAAATGCTTAAAATTCTACTTTGAGGCAGTTAGCAAGGATCAGTCGTATTTGCTTCGTCTCGCCACTCTTCGAGCAAAGCGACGCGAAAACGTCTCGTCGACTTCGTTACACTTCATTCTGTCCATCCGCCATCATTCTGACTCGTCTCACAAGGCGAGGAACTTCATCAGCGCGTCGTAAATTAGTCGAGGATTGATGGTGCCGTCAGCGGTGTAACGTACGCCTCTCAAAGAGCCATCGTCGTGGCTCACCACGCCGTATTCACCAACGATGAAACCGTCCGGTGTTCTCTCCTCGACCCTGTACTTCCTGTAGTTCCTACCCTCGACCACGTAGCCAACCTTGTGCCCGTCCTCCACCTCGGAAGCGTTCGACGGCTCGGTGAGCATGATCTGCGGCCCGTGGACGTTCCCGTTGCTGCTCACGCTGACAGACTCGTCGACTTCGTAATTCTGCTCGTCCGGCTCGCCGCCCCGTGGCTGGCCAGGTTGTCGATTGGTGAACGGCTGGCCCTCCGAGTCGTAAAGTTTGCTAGGTTCGCTATAAACCTTGGCCGGCTGCGAGTAAATCTTGGCCGGTTCCGAATAAACTTTAGCCGGTTCCGAGTAAACCTTCGACGGCTCCGAGTACACTTTCTCCGGTTCACCGTAGACTTTCGCGGGCTCGCTGTAAACCTTGGCTGGCTCGCTGTACACCCTCGCTGGCTCGCTATAAACCTTGGCCGGCTCGCTGTACACCTTGGCTGGTTCACCATAAATCCTCTCTGGTTCGCTGTAGATCTTCGCTGGCTCGCTGTACAGCCTGGCTGGCTCGCCGTACGCCGGCTTGTAGCCCTTCGACGCCGAACTATACATCTTGGTAGCCGGCTTTGGATCGTAGCGCGAGGCGTCGAAGTGTCTTCCCGCCTTTCGACCTTGGCTTTGGTACCGCGCCTCCCCGTCCTCCAACTCCTTTGGCTCGCCGTTCTCTTCCGGTAGCTCGTAGTTCTCCTCCGTTGGCAGGGTGATCATGTCACCCGGCTCGTTACTCGTCCCGTTGTTACTACCGTTACTGTCATCGCCGCGTGTCCCCTTCTTTCGATGCTCGGCGTAGGTGGTCGACGGTCCAGGCGTGACGGAACTCTGACCACCACGCCAGCTGGTGCTCGGCGAGCCCTCGTCAACGGAGAACTCGCTTCTGTTCGACTCCGAGACGATGTTGCTAAGCTCCTCCGTGACGAAGCTGGACGGCGACGACGGTGTGGTCGTCGTCGACGACGATTTCGAGGGGATCGTGGTGGCGTTGACGGCCGAGGTCGTAGTGCCGGAGAACGTCCTCGCAGTTGTCGCGGTGCTCATGGTTCTCGTGGCCGTGCCATTCTTCAGCTCTCTCGCAACGTCCTTGGACGAAATTCCGACGGAGCCCGGCGGTCTGGACACGACCGTCGCGTCGCCGTTGTCGTAGTGCTCCACCCTGACCTTGTACGGCGTGGCTTCGACGGTGGACGTCACGCTGACACCGATGACTTTCTGCCGGCTGACTCCTTTCGAGCTCGTCGAGTTGCTCGTCGCGTTCCCCCTCGTCGACGTGCTCTTCGTCGTGGTCGTGCTGGTCGGACTGTGTGGCGCCAGCCGCGTCGAGGACAAGTCGCCGCCGGTGCTCAGCTCGTCGATCAACGACGCCAGATTCTGCTGCCTGTTCTCCAACGTTTTCTGACTTATCGGGTAGAATCGCACAATCTCCTCCCGGCCGCTGGTGTTCCGCGCCCTCGGGATCACCTGCCTGTTGCCAGGATTCCGCGATATCCGGTAGATCGAAGCCTCGTGCTGATGCGACTCCGCTGTCGCGCTGTCCCCGGCTGACGCCGTCTGACCTCCGCGCCGGAAACCCCTGCGCCGCTGCGGCGGCGTGGCCATCGCGCCGTTTATGAAGACCGACAGGAATTCCGTGCCCGCGAGTATGTCGTTTCTCTTGGCTGGTGCACCGTGTACCTCGTCCCACATCAGTGCCGCCTGCAGCAGTACCTGGAAAACGGTTTCGCTCGGTCAGTGGAATGCTATGAAAAGGACTCGGCCGTGTCGAGTGAACAAACTGGAGCAATCGAAGATACTACTAAAATTTCGTGCAACTAGTGGTGCCTATACAGAGGTGTATTAAACGAGGCAAGAGAAAACTGAAATATATACGTCTCATTTTGTAATAGTCTTCACTTGTCTGTCTTTTCATTTGCCTTTGTAATAAATTTTCGAAATTGTAAAGAAAAAAATTGTATCCTTTATGGACACTCTGTAAAATGCTCTGCAATTTCTGTAAATTTCCACTTTACGCTATTATAGAAATTTTGCTGCGAAACAATGTCTGACATGGTCCCACAACACTATAGTGGTTCGCAATAAAGAGTGAAGAGTTCGTGAACGAATAATTTGAAAATTTCTTTGAATTTTTATTTTACATCTGCTATTTTCAAAACTTTGCTGTGAAGCAACGTTTGACATAGTCCCGCAACACGTTAACGTTAAAGAGTGAAAAATAGTTTAAAAACTATTAGAGAATATATTATCTTGGGAAAATTATAAAAATATGGTTTTTTAAATATATTGTTTAAACACTGTTAAATCCGTAGTTAAAAAACATTAATTTCATTAATTTGCACAAAAACATGTATTTTCAGTGATTTCTAAAATATTTGACAAAATTCTGGAGCCGCAACTCTGACAAAATTAGTGGACGATTGTCGATAAAAAGAAAAAACGTGTCAAATATTTTTTCGAAATCTGTGACTGACACTTCAACATGTTCCATTGTTATAGAAAAACACAGAGCAGTGACGCCGAATCTTTTTGAGAAGTAGATCAAATTTTGTTCATTATTTTTGTTAGTACTAGCTCGTAGGTCATTAAGTCAGTGGAGGATGGTTAAAAACTACTTTCTTTTGGTTCATTTTTATAATCCTCTAAAAAGTTTACGTTTCCTTTTCTGTTTTGCAACTTTTACTCTTGCAAGTGAAGAGCAAAAAATAAATGTCGATGTCGACAAATTGATATAAAAGGGGTGACATCGTACCCCTGCACTACACATTAGATATATATACTTTATTTCTTAATATTTTTTTTTTGTCTGTTCTCTCTTTTACTATATAAAAAAACTAGCTACCCATTCTGAGAATGGGATCTAGTATGTTTTTTAGTGTTTATTACATCTGTTTAATTGTAAGCGTTGTATAAAATTTTTTGGGCACAACTAACTCGTATAACATTTAAGACTTAAAATACCTATATGTATATGCAGCCAAGTCGTAAATCCTCCATAAAACACAATTATGCATTTATTTCTCACTTTTAAGCTCTAACCGTATACTTGTAATTTTCTGAACATTTTTTGAAAAGAGGGGTTCGAAAAATAATTAAAATTCTTTTATATATATGATGATAAGTTTATAAAAATCAACGCGTGGGTCATTTAAAAAGCCTGGGTGGGTCATAGGTTCGCCATCATTGACATAGAGAGTATGTTGCACTGAAATATCTGCAAAATGCAGAATATAAAAATTGGACCGATCGAATCCAAATGAAATCAAATGGTAAACAAACTCGCAAGTATTACACGATTCGAGGACTCATTTCTCGTCGAAGTTTAGAGGAGATAAGTAGATTTCTCAACTGTAGTCTCAAAAATATACTGATAAATATTTATTTGAGTATCGTATCATCGCCTATGTATACATTATTTTTAATATTATCGCTAGTATTTTCCTACAAAGCGTAAATTATTAATTTTAAGATTAAGGCCATTTAAGATTTTCACTTGGATCGTTTTTTATTTTCGCAATGCTTCCCACTCTCGCGAGAACACGAGAGAATCGTTCGCATGCGTGTATAACGCAGCAGGTGTGAATGAAATGACAAGCAGCGTCTCGATTAATATTCATGTACACCGGCGTTGTAAATTAAGATAACTCGTGTACATCTACAGCGTGACTTTGACCATGGAAATTTCGAAGGGCACTCCTCACCTTCGCGATGAGCTTCCTTAAAACACTGACTGACTCGTAACATGCAATTACCAGTTCTTGTCTTCACCGGCTGAAATTTAAATTACACGCTCATTTGAAAATACGCAGCGATATATCTTCACCACCTTGCAAACGGTTCTTCGTACTCGGAATATTTACGCATCCTTAGCGCGCGCGTTTGTCAATTTGTTTCTTTCAATTGTGCAATTAAAAAATTACCACACAAAACAACGAAACAACTACTGTCACTATCTGTACATACAATTTGAAAACAAGTCAATTTTTTTGCATCTCTTTATCGCGAAGCAACAAATGCCTACGACGAGTGTCTTCGAGACAGGGAAACTCTAACTGTTGATCGCAATTCTCGAGGGGGCTTTGAAACTCTTAATTGTCCTCAAACGACGACGAATCTCGGCGATTCTCTCGTCAATGTTCTGAACCGAGTGGTTACGCTGCCTTTATGTTAAAAAGAATTAGTTGAAACTCGCGAAATTTGTGGCACGGCAAGCTGAAACTGCGAAACCCACCGAGCCGTACGCTTTCTACCGAGTTGTAAAAGTTTTAATATACGTATATTACGCGATTCAGACGGACAGCTCGGCGACGATGAAGAGAAAAAGAGGGAAGCAAGAAAAAGGACGCGTAAAAGTATTTCTTTGCGACGGTGAGAGCCGAGAGAGTCAGGTTAATAACTTGAAAGAGGTCGGGACTCCCTCGGTTTGGATTTGTTCGTCGTCGTTTCGCTCTCGGTTCGCAGTGTGACGCTCTGAATTGAATTTTGGCCGCAACTTGTTACGCCATGTTACTTGAATAAACGATCCGAAACGGTATTAAAGCGATCGAACGATTTGCAACAGGTATATGTATACGTGTATATATTATTCTCAGTGAGATTCCAAAAAAATATCCTTTACACGTTCAAGGAACATTTAAGATCCTCAAGATCCTTTAGATATGCAATCTTTGATATTTATTTTTTTTCCGTATATATATGAGAGACAATATATAGATATATATTTCATTAATTCTTTCATTCCAAATTTCATTTAAAAATCAATTCGAATTATAAGTAATTTATTAAATAATAAATTAATGTTAAATTTAATTTACTTTTATGAAGACAAATCAATAAATTCTTGTATAATATTTACAATCATAACAATATTATCATTAAAATATCCTTTACACGTTCAAGGAACATTTGGGATCCTCAAGATCCTTTAGATATGCAATCTTTGATATTTATTTATATATATATATGTATAAGAGACAATATATACATATATATTTCATTAATTCTTTCATTCCAAATTTCATTTAAAAATCAATTCGAATTATAAGTAATTTATTAAATAAGAAATTAATGTTAAATATAATTTACTTTTATGAAGACAAATCAATAAATTCTTGTATAATATTTACAATAATAACAGTATTATCATTAAGAAGAATTGTTTTTAATTTTGAATTTATAATTTATAGTTTAAATCTATTGAAAATTTATAAGTATTTTGTTACCAAAATATTTGCTTTAGGTTGCATTTTTAATTAACATTATATATTAAATGAACGCACAACGTGTTGTACAGGGACCGGAGGTATTCTCTCGATTTATAAAGTGACCGACAGAGAGACTGGTAGCAGAGACTGGTCTAGAACGGTTTCCTGTTGAAAGGGGAACACGCACTGTCGTGTGGACACCTCGGATGAGGTCATTCGGTTCGCCCACTTACTCCCCCGTGCGGATGATTCGCGTTTATGCTACCACGTTATTCCTACAAAAGACGTAAAACAACGAGTGTGCATATATATTTATTGTTTTACATCATGATTCTCAGCTCTTCGTATGAAATTAATAAATATATCAGTCAGCTCACATCGCATATTTTGTACGGGGTGGGCCAAAAATCATTTACTGCTAAAATAAATTTCCTACTAAAATTAATAAAATTAGTTTTTTCTTATATTTTGACGTTTTGTTAAAAGAAAATAGGTGGGTAGAAACTTTTGGGAATAAATTTCTTACTAAAATTAATAAAATTAGTTTTTTTTTATATTTTGACGTTTTGTTAAAAGAAAATAGGTGGGTAGAAACTTTTGGGAATAAATTTCTTACTAAAATTAATAAAATTAGTTTTTTCTTATATTTTGACGTTTTGTTAAAAGAAAATAGGTGGGNNNNAACTTTTGGGAATAAATTTCTTACTAAAATTAATAAAATTAGTTTTTTCTTATATTTTGACGTTTTGTTAAAAGAAAATAGATGGAAAGAAAGTTTTGGTCTACCCTGTATATGTATATATAAAATTCACGTGGATGCATCGCTGAAATGACTGATATATTCATTAGTTTCGTACGATATGAAGGGCTTAGAATCACGTCCAAGTTTTTACAGTTTCAGTCAATAACGTTTTCCAAATGTTATAATTTTATTTATTACCGGGAAATATATGCTTTACTTTAACACTTAACCAAGAGAGCAACAACAAAACGTAATAAATTTTACGAGAAACGTCGCAAGAATTCTCAGCCTTTCAATGGAAATCGAATTTCTTGAATCGCATGCAGTTCAATAAATTTGGTATTATTCACAATATGTTTTATACACGTTGGCTGCAGGAAGAATTATCGGATTATAAATTAACTGTTACATTTGCAGGATAAATTCTTTAAGTTGCGATTTACATGCTTATGTTCCATACTCAGATAAGATAACATCTCCAACAGTGTCTCTGTTATATATTTTTTTAAATATATTTTTATCGATTAAAGGAATAACATTTCTAATTTAAAAAATTTATAGGCTAACTTGTCCGTCATTAAAACTGACACAAGTTAGCTTCTCGATTCGGGGCACGAATTCTTCTCGCATCGTTTGAATTTTCATTTCGTTTCGCGCTGAAACTGAGCGTTTCCCAGTTGATTAATTAACAACAAGTGTTTTCAGAAATGCAGTGAATTCGAATTGAAAAAAATCGTATTGGTGAGGAACGTGACCTCGAACCTGTA